TTTTTGGTACTGGGGATTGAACTCAGGACCTTGCGCTTGTGAGGCAGGTGGCAGAACCACTGAGCTAAATTCCCGGCCCTAAATTATATATTCTTATTTTCTGGATAGAGCACTTTAATTTCTTTTTTTAAAAATTGTTTTATTTTTTGAGCACTTCAATTTCAAATGTCCTCTTAAAAATGTTTGAGAATACACAGAATAAAATCAATTGGTTAAAAAGAAAAAATGAGGACTGGGTGCTAGAATGCTTGCCTAGCATATGTGAGGTTCTGATTTCATCCCCAACACACAAAAGAAAAAAGGAAAATTAATATGTTTATTTTGTATTTGTAGTTTAGAGACTGCAGTGATTTTCTCGTTTAGTTAATGCCTTCCGTGCCCCAGGGGCAGAGATTAGAGTGGTGAGCAGAACACTCTAGCACATCTTAGTCCTAGGCTCTCATTTTACAAAAAGTGACTTCCCAAGGTCATGTAGCTAGTTAGGGAGGTCAGCTTAGTAATTGGGAGCCCTGCTATAATTAGGATTTGGTTTAAAAATTAAAATTTGGAAAAGTAAAAGCAGTTAACCTCTGTTTTAGTTGAAGCAGGACTACATTTGCAGAGACCCAATTATCCAGAAAAACACATGGCACAGCATAGAAAGCTACCTTTTAAATATCCTCCAGTTAAGTAAAGATACTGCTTTACAGAAAAGCTGTGTTGTGTTCATACTTACACTGTGGATGTAGATGTAGTTCTTAGTCTCACTCTAGGTCTCTAGGACTTTGAGAAGCTATTGTTACTTTAAAACCATTCGGTGGCAGGTAGGAGTCTGTTCTAGTATTGCAGAGAATGAGATCTGACAGCTTTAGCTTTTCCTGGTCTTAACACCCCATTGTTAGAACTCTTTTGTTGTTGTTGTTTGTTTGTTTGGGATAGAGTCTCACTGTGTAGCCCATGCTGGCCTGCAACTCACTGTCCTCCTCCCCAGCCTCCTGAATAGCTGGGATTACAGGTGTGATGCTAGGCCCAGCCCCTGTCAGAGCTCTTCACTTGGCCTTGTGGCTAATGTCCACTTTTCTGGCCACTTCTGAGCTCTGGCCCCTGATTCTGCTCTCCACAGAGCCCTAGAATTGGTCCTCGTGATCCTGCCCAGGTAGAGTGTCAGTAGAAATCTGAATCAGGTACGCTGGGCATCTTAATAAAACTTGACAGTTATGAACGGTACCTTATTCTTTTAAAGGTGCTTCACTTTTTTTTTTAGAAAATATGGAAGTGAATTTTTTTTGCGAGGAGTTTCACATTAACTGAAAGAATACCTTTCCTAACCATCCAGTTCTGATAATATTCTCAGAAGTAACATTTAATACTATCATCTGACAAATATTGTGAACTCCTGGGGTTGTTCCTGTTTTAATGTGTATATTCCTTCTAGAAGTATTTTGTCAGAAGCATATGCAAGATTTTGTTGCTTTTTTTGCTTTTGAGATTGAGCGCTCCAAAGTTGGTCCTCCTCTCACATAGTTAAATCACTTAAAAATTAAAAGTCACATTAATGTTAAGTTCCTTAACTTACCCCTTGCCCCACCTTTAGTAGTTAGTGGTAGTTATAAATAAGGTTTAGATTAAATTTTATTTTCTTTTTTCCTGAAATAAAGCAGTCCTAGCACATTTGAATAGCGAATAAATGTCAAACAAGTATGTTTTAGTTAACTTAGTAATTTGAATATAGGACCTGTAGTTTGTGATTTACTATGATTTGGTAAATTTTTAAAAATAATTATATATTAATTTTAAAAACATTTATGTTTTAAGTTTAAAAAATTGCCCAAATCAGTTGAAAGTAGATGAAATAAAAATAGGGAATAGGAAGATGAAGGGAATTGGGTCTGAGTCCATCTAAGAGCTGGAGCCTCACCCGGTCAGCGCCCAGCCATTTGCTCATGGAGTGACTATAGCTTGGCGTGGAGGAAGTGCCCTTCTGTGTCTGTAATGTGTGTTTCTAGTGAAATCATAGTGATCATGACCACTTTGTACAGCACCACATCATTAGCTTACAACTTCAGAGTAATTTCAGTATTAGAAAAATATAATAATACTTAAATAATTTGAGATTATTTTAGCTGTAACAAGAAAATGCATTAATGTACTTACATATTTTTACACTTACTGCTCAAAAATGACATTCAAATCTGAGTGTGAAAAGTTTAATTTTTTCATTTTTAGTAAGGAAGTATTTCAAAAGATAAGTAGGATCTTTCAAAGCTAGAGTTCAGTTTTCTAGGAAAATTTTCATGCTTTGGAACACCAGAGGGAAATAAGTAAACACGTAAATGTGTGAAATTGAATCATTCCAAAACACCCCCACAGATTTAATGCCCCAGAGCTCATGCATTTCAC